GCCATTACTTTGTTGATTATTCGGTTATGGCAGTTCACAGTCACCTAATATGCCCGTATAAATTAAGTCAAGTTCCTAAATTACTAGAGATTAATGAAGCATAATGTGATTATTTACGACGTTTGGCCCGCACAGTGGGTTTCCTCAAGTAAACATGTAGTGCGAAGTGTGAGGGCCTGTAGCCTTGGAGGAGTAGACAAAACTACTACTAGGAGAAAAAATCTTTAGGTGTCTCCCAGAAGTCGTTTGAGAATTTTTCTTCTGCCAAGGCTGGTTATGGACCGGGCTGCGGTGGCGTTGTCCCCCGAAACACCATCCAGGTATACCTCGTTTTGGGGGGGTTTCAGCGTCGATTAGCAATGGTAATAGACTTTTTCTAGCATAGCTTCGATCGTGGTAACTTGAGCAACAAACCTACGTGTAGTTATAGTCACGTAATAAAACTTTATTGTAGACCATGTTTCGCTGAAGATAGAACGAAAGAAAAGCTTAAAAGACCTGGTTGTAACAATATCAGCTGACCTTTCTTGCAAATAACACAATAAGGCAAATGTCACGATTGCCAGAAAAACGATGAGGTGGATAATGAGAACTTTGAGCACAGGGGAAATAGTGCCAAATTGCTTCGCTCTTCGCTTATTGATCATTGTTGACGGTCTCGTTCAAGGCAGGAGAGGAATCACAGCTGAAACAGATATAAAAATTATTTAGAGTCTGCATAGAGCCCATAAAGCATATAAATTACAGGGAACGCCTCAGTACCCTTAATATGTACTCGCAGGAACGGAGGAAAGAAGTACATAATATATTCAAGGAAGGTACTTAAAGGCCTAATCCCAGATCTGCACACTGCGACAACAAAATACTGGAGTGAGAGATATGGAAGAAAATATAAAATTAACCCACTGAAAGACAGGGGAGTAGTGGGCACAATAAGAGAACATTGTATCAACATCCCTGATCCCAGACTATACCATCTGGCCAGAAGATACCAGAAACGTTGTCTGGAGAAGTGTAGAAGTCTTCAAGAGGAAACTGGACGAGTATCTCCACCAAGTACCAGATCAACCAGGCTGGGAAGGATATGTGGGCCAGCGGGCCGCCAGCATCAACAACCTGGTTGACCTAACAAGCACCAGACAGTTGGCCCAGGGCCGGCCAACGAGAATAGAAAAACCCTCGAAACCCTTCACATGTATACAAAAAGGTAAGGCAGCATGAAATGCCTTTATATGCAGTTTTGATTGTGTTCCTGAAGTAAAAAGAGAATGATCCTCTCTCCAGATTTCAAAGTTAAACGTTGAGATTTATAGCGTTGCTTTAAAGCTATAGTTCCCTCCCTTCACAATTTTTGTTTTAGCTTTTAACCTTGGTATTAAAAAAACTTCACGCTGTGCTTCGGGGGAAAGGTAATTGTGACCTTTTATATTTCGACGCCACCGTTAGTAGTTCAGTCTTCCTTAACTTGGTTATGTTGACGTAACTGAGGTAACGCTGGTTATATCCAGAGCAGCAGTGTTAGGTCAGCCGTTATTTGACGTTCGCCAGACAACAGTAATAATGTGTTTTATCTTGACGTTCAGTGGATAACAGGCATTTTACGTTTTCGTTACGTTCAAGAGACAGCAGTAATAGCGCGTTTAACGTTTATTTCTTGACGTTCGACAGACTTCAGTAATAAGAACATACGAACATACAAACAGAATAGAGTGTTCGAACGTTTGGCTTAGACACACCTAGTCAGGTCATCACAGATTAAGAGTGTAAACGGCACCTGACGCTAACAACAGCTAATGTATATAACCCCCCCACTCATGTTATTATACCATTTTAAGAACAACGTACTGGTCTATAACGTACTTATTTTTTCACTCATCCAACCATACAACAGTAATGTCCTTTTAATCTGTTTTTCCTGTTTGTTTAGTCAACAAAAAGTATGTGTGGTGACGTTGTTTGGACGCTCCAGTACACACATTAAGACTGTACGTAACGTGACTGACGTCAACAGATGAGTAACTATATTCTACTGTTGACTTAAGTGTGAGACAACTTCACTACGACTTATTTATAACAGACAAGTAATTTTTTTATTTTGTCTTCTTGAGTGTAGGAAAAAGAATAGGTTGTGCCTCTGATTGACCACAGCACCGTAAGCTCACGTTACGTACCTGCTGAGGAATATATACACATTTTACTCTGACTCAGGTGGAAACCTCCTCACCCCTTAAGGACAATACTGATCCTGGGAAGGGAAGATAATCATGCTTTTGACCCAGGATGTATGTATCGGGTAGCGTTCCATGATATAAAATATATTATTATTTCATGGAACGCTAACCAAAGATTCATAGCAGACCTGGGGAATGGGAAGTAATCAGGTTTGATCCGAGGATTAGAAGGGTAGCTCTTATTTCTTGGATCAAAAGAAAAATCTTTAAAGCAACAGATTACCTCCCTTGAAGGGAGGATTTTGACTACGCTTAGAGGGGGGGGGAGGAGAGGGAGAGGGAGGGAGACGTAAATCGAATCCCCTTTACTGTTGGCTATTGTTGATGAAAACAGTGGTGGTGATGGTAGTTGTGCTTGTGGTGGTAGTAGTGGTGGTGTTGGTGATGGTAGACAAAGTTTCGCTCCTTGTAGAACTTGATCAGGTCAAGTAATCAAGTTCGCGACTTGATAACGCGAGACTTTGACCTGATGAACTCTTGCGTCTGTCTTCAAGCGTTCCAGTAGGATCTCGGTAGCCTGGGCAGCTTCAACACTGTGTTGCGGTGGTGAGGGGATGGTGGTCTTCTCTCCTCCCCTCCTTCCCCATGAGATCCACCCAATGTTGTGAAGCTTGCTAGGGAGGGGGGGTCTCTGCCCCCTGTACTTGTACCCTTCCTAGATCCTTCCCTCCCTTCCCCCCACACAAGTTGCTTAATTATCTCCAATCTTCCCAGAATGTCCTGTCACTAGGAGGGGATTAGGAGAGGAGGAGGATAAAGAGGAGAGAGAGGAGAGAGGATGAGAGAGAGAGAGAGAGAGAGAAGAGATATAGATAGATAGATAGATACTCTATGTACTTGTACCAGTTCTTCGTCTGCACATTTCCACTTCGTAAGGTAATATTTTTTCAACTAATTAAAAAAGCCTTAAGGTACACAGCAGGTACCTTGCAAGGTGCGGACACTACTTTTGCAAGACAAGTTGCAGTGGCTAATATTTAGAAATGTTCTTTAATATAGTTTTATACTCTGTTCCTTATGAATGTTGCTTTGTGACTTCGAAAAAAAAAATCAGAAAAATTTTGACATTTTTTTTAGCTGTATTAGGAGGGAATGGTCGTATATGCAGAGATGTGTTTGTTCCTGTTTACATTTATTCACTGGCAGTGTGTTTTAGTTGCTGTTTGAAGAGTTGAAGTATTCTTGATGTTAGTATACAAGTGAACTGCGGTCTTAATGATCTTCGTTCAGTCGAAAGACCTTGAACCTAGCGAACTATGAAGTTTTCCAGAACTCAAGTCCACTAAGTAGTTTCCCTGAATAGCTTCATACGTGTTAATTTGCATGCACTCCGACAGCTCATCATTATATTACTTACACACACACACACACACGGTGAGTACGTACATACGTACGTATGTGTGACGAATTTCAGTCCTCCACATCACAATTCGTGCACCGTCGAGAGGAGCGAGTGTAAGCAAACTGTATGTATAGAGCTGGTTCGTGCAATGTCTTCTGAATGACTCAAGAAATCGTAATGACACGATTGCAAACAAACCATACCCCCGGCCGGGATTGAACCCGCGGTCATAGTCTCAAAACTCCAGCCCGTCGCGTTAGCCACTAGACCAGCTAGCCACAATAAGATTCATCCAACTAGGTATATTTCTACACCATAGGAAGGTTAGCACAGGCACCTCTGTGACCACAAATGCAAGTTTTTACAGACGAATCTCCAGCTAGCGTGGCCGTGACGAACTCTAGCTCAAGTCCCTTCACTGCCGTCAACATGACTCAAGAAATCGTAATGACACGATTGCAAACAAACCATACCTCCGGCCGGGATTGAACCCGCGGTCATAGAGTCTCAAAACTCCAGCCCGTCGCGTTAGCCACTAGACCAGCTAGCCACAATAAGATTCATCCAACTAGGAGATTCGTCTGTAAAAACTTGCATTTGTGGTCACAGAGTGCCTGTGCTAACCTTCCTATGGTGTAGAAATATACCTAGTTGGATGAATCTTATTGTGGCTAGCTGGTCTAGTGGCTAACGCGACGGGCTGGAGTTTTGAGACTATGACCGCGGGTTCAATCCCGGCCGGGGGTATGGTATGTCTTCTGAATCTCCTCGCTAACTTGATTTCATGTTTTAACTGATCGAGCATCTGAAAGCGGCGGTTGAGTTGAAAACACTAAAACTCAAGAGCTATTGGCTCAAGGCGTTTTGTAAGTTATTAGCTGATAGCTTGCTTCAGGCTATTTTACAAGCATAGAGCTGTGAGCCTATCTCAAGCCATTTTCTAAGACCATCTTTTACTTCAAAGCATTTTACAAACCAATAGCTGTTAGCATACCTCAGGTCAGTATTCAAGCAATTCTACAAGCTAGCAGCAATCTTTCCTCAGCTTATTTTACAAGCTTGTTGGGATGAAGAAAATGAAATTGAAAAAAAAAAATAATGGTTGAGTTAGAGGAAGTTGGGCGGAACTCAGGAGGAATAAGATTTGGATTTGGGGAAAAATTCATAAGAACTTTGTGAACACTATCCTTTGTACAGATAAACCAGAGAAATAAACTGTTTAACCCTCTTCTCTAGGAAGTTGGTGAATAAATGTATTTTTCTTGCACAGTCTAACTAGAGGAATGCCTCCCTGTGACCTTTATCAACACGTTCTTTCCTTTGCACAGACTAGAGGAATGCTTCCGTGTGACCTTTATCAACACATTTTTCTTTACACAGACTGAGACTTCGGTGTGACCTTTATCAACACACTTTTCTTTACATAGACTAATAGAATGCCTCCCTGTGACCTTTATCAACACATTCTTTTCTTTGCACAGACTAAAGGAGTGCTTCCCTGCGACCTTTATCAGCACATTCTTTCCTTTGCACAGACTAAAAGAATGCTTCCGTGTGATCTTCAACAACACATTCTTTCCCTTGTACAGGTGAACCAGAGGAATGCCAAGCTGTTCAACAATGTTGGCCATGCGCTGGAGTCACAGGGTCGCTTCGCTGAAGCACTAAAGTACTTCCAAGCTGCCGTCACTGTACAGGAGGACGACATCGGTGCCCACATCAACGTGGGAAGAACCTACAACAACCTCAAGCTTTTCTCTGATGCCGAGCAGGCCTATCTCAAGGTGAGAACTCATGCTTTTAAACTAAACTGGGCGACGAATGAAAAGGCACAATGCCGTGACTTGAACAATACACTGGGAAGATTGGGGAAGGGTAAAGAAGACGCAGATAGAGTATAGGCTAGGTGGACAAAGACTACAAACCTCACTCTGGAGTGACCATAACACCGAACACGTTTCTGGAGGCACACATCAACCAGATAACTGCTGCAGCATATGGGCGCCTGGCAAACCTGAGAATAGCGTTCCGATACCTGAATAAGGAATCGTTCAAGACACTGTACACTGTGTACGTTAGGCCCATACTGGAGTATGCAGCACCAGTTTGGAACCCACACCTGGTCAAGCACGTCAAGAAGTTAGAGAAAGTACAAAGGTTTGCAACAAGGCTAGTTCCAGAGCTCAGGGGAATGTCCTACGATGAAAGGTTGAGGGAAATCGGACTGACGACACTGGGGGACAGAAGGGTCAGGGGAGACATGATAACGACATACAAGATACTGCGTGGAATAGATAAGGTGGAAAGAGACAGGATGTTCCAGAGAGGGGACACAGAAACAAGGGGTCACAATTGGAAGCTGAAGACTCAGACGAGTCACAGGGATGTTAGGAAGTATTTCTTCAGTCATAGAGTCGTCAGGAAGTGGAATAGCCTAGCAAGTGACGTAGTGGAGGCAGGAACCATACATAGCTTTAAGACGAGATATTACAAAGCTCAGGAAGCAGAGAGAGGACCTAGTAGCGATCAGTGAAGAGGCAGGGCCAGGAGCTGAGTCTCGACCCCTGCAACCACAATTAGGTGAGTACCCTCCAGGTAACCTCCAGGTAGCTGCATTATATAAGAGAATAACATTGTGGGAACATCCTCTGTGTACAGCTGTTGATGTCGCAACTTTTCTTTGGTTGCTGAGTTCTTAGGTGATACTATTGGAACTATAAGTGAAAAGCAATACCAGAGTATTGAGTTTATTAGATGAAATAGGTATCAGCTTGCTGTCAAATCTGCCGTGTGTTCTGCCTTCTGCGCTGCTGTGGGAAGCAAATTGTGTGCTCTCGTGTGCAGAAGAATGATCTCCCAGAAATTGTACTAAGTACAGTTGCCGGGAGATCATTATCAAAGTACAGTTGCACCTGGTACAATTGTAATTTTGATAATGGACAAATGCTACTGACAAATAGGTTTGCTTACAGATAGGTAGACTGAGATAAAGGAGTATAAACAGTGCAGAGCTGTTTATGTAATCTTGTTTGAATTGTGTTTGATGTTACATAATGCAAATCAAGAAGTTGTGAATATACAGAGATCATAGCATTAGTTCGAAATATAAAAACTATCAGTATTGTTATTGCATTCATTGGGGAGCGCTAAACCCGTAGGAGTCACGGTAATAAAACAGATACCACTTAATGAGAAGAATTGGTAAGATCGATGGTCTCTTACAGGAAATCTTTTCTGCAAATTCTTGAATTTGATTTACAGTAAACTTTAATGCCAACAAAAACAGCAACCTGGTGTGCCAATAAGCTATATATTTCTCTGTCCAGAATTCATAGAAGGGTCATGAACACGCTCATATTGTGAAATATTTAACAGGTGTAGTGCTGTACATAAAACTCAGTGACTAAGTTTGCTTACATGAAATGTTAAATAGCACCAAATATAAATTTTAGCACACAAATTCGATTGAACTTTGCAGACATAACTTACAGTATAATATATTAAATTTATCATGCCATTAATTATTTAAATTGATTTTGATACTAAATTCTGTTAAGTGAATTAGTATAAGCATAATCATGCTTACACTCTGGCTGAATGGTTGATTGGTTAGGACATTAAGATTTGCTACATGACATACTTCTGAATCCCAATCATGTTGCTGTAAACCAGCTTGTACAATAACAGTTATTCTTTTTTCTTTTCTTTCAACAAACTGGCCATATCCCAGGGTGGCCCAAAAAGAAATGTGTTTCTCTTTTTAACTTTAGTAATGTATACAGGAGAAGGGGTTACTAGCCCCTTGCTCCTGGCATTTTAGTCGCCTCTTACGACATGCATGGCTTATGGAGGAAGAATTCTGTTCCACTTCCCCATGGAAATAGGAAATAAACAAGAACAACAACTAGTAAAAAAATAAAAGAAAACCCAGAGGGGTGTGTGTATATATATGCTTGTACATGCAAGTGTAGTGTGACCTAAGTGTAAATAGAAGTAGCAAGACATACCTTAAATCTTGCATGTTTATGAGACAGAAAAAGACAACAGCAATCCTGCCATCATGTAAAACAATTACAGACTTTCGTTTTACACTCACTTGGCAGGACAGTAGTCCTGGTGGCTGTTGTCTACCAACCTACTACCTAGAAGCAGTTTTTTTTTTTATCAGAACAAAAAGATATAACATCATTACTCACATTTTGAGTTTCTTTGTAGCCTTCATTATAATTATCAACATTTCCACAACATATAGATTTGGCAAAAGTTCTCCCACACAGTGGCTTTATCAGGACACAAACAATTGCAATATAATGCATTAGTGTATTTTTTTCCATTGTCTGTATTTTATACCATTTACCTCCATTCAGGATTTTTTCTACTCCCATGATCCAGCTTGGGGACAAGTGGAATAAAGCAAAAAATGTGTAGTTTTTTGTCTACTTAATAAAGAACCAAATGAGGGGGTTCACCTGCTTAATCATTGATGAATTTATAGCGTACTGAACATCTGTTCTAGTTTCATGATAAGTACAGTGGACCCCCGCATAGCGACTTTAATCCGTGAAAGAGGGCTCATTGTTATGCGAAATGATCGGTATGCGAATGAATTTTCCCCATAAGAAATAATGGAAATCAAATTAATCCGTGCAAGACACCCAAAAGTATGAAAAAAAAAATTTTACCACATGAAATATACATTTTCCTACACACAAAGAGAAGGATACATGCACAATAGTAGAGTAGTACATGCACAATATATATTGTGCATGGACTACTCTACTAAATGAAGAATAAATGACACCTTTATTGAAGATGCAGCAATGACTGATGAGACACTGTGTCCTGGGAGTGCCTTTTCCTCCTGAGTACTGTAGGTCCTGTTTGGCATTTTCTTCCAGAACAGGCCTTATCACACTGTGTATGCCACTACGATTCTTAAATCTCTCAAACCAACCTTTGCTGGCTTTAAATTCACCAATATGAGCACTAGTTCCAGGCATTTTTCCCTGTTCACCTGGGTGTTAGTTGACTGGTGTGGGTTGCATCCTGGGAGACAAGATTAAGGACCCCAATGGAAATAAGTTAGACAGTCTTCGATGACACTCACTTTTTTGGGTTATCCTGGGTGGCAAATCCTCTGGGGTTAATTGTTTCTTGGTATTCTCAATAAGCCACACCAACAACAGTGCTACAGCAGCAGCAGACAGTACTACAGCAGCAGCAGACGGTACTACAGCAGCAGCAGCAGCAGCTGACGGTGGTACAACAGCAGCAGCAGCTGACGGTGCTACAGCAGCAGCAGCAGCTGACGGTGCTACAGCAGCAGCAGCAGCTGACAGTGCAGCAGCAGCAGCAGCAGCAGCTGACGGTGGTACAGCAGCAGCAGCAGCTGTACCACCAATAGTAGAGATGGTTGATTGGGGTTTATTATACAACCTGGCCAGCTCGGAGACACGCACTCCACTTTCATACTTATCAATGATCTTTTTCTTCATCTCTATAGTAATTCTCACCCTTATTGCTGTAGGGTTGGCACTAGAAGCTTTCTTGGTGCCCATGGTCACTTATTTTGCAGATAAAATCACCAAAAACACTGTAATAATACAAAATGTTCCGATTGTATGCTTGGGTGGGCCGGTGGTCTGGTGGCTAAAGCTCCCGCTTCACACACGGAGGGCCCGGGTTCGATTCCCGGCGGGTGGAAATTCTGACACGTTTCCTTACACCTGTTGTCCTGTTCACCTAGCAGCAAATAGGTACCTGGGTGTTAGTCGACTGGTGTGGGTCGCATCCTGGGGGACAAGATTAAGGACCCCAATGGAAATAAGTTAGACAGTCCTCGATGACGCACTGACTTTCTTGGGTTATCCTGGGTGGCTAACCCTCCGGGGTTAAAAATCCGAACAAAATCTTATCTTATCTTGGATGTTACCGCGGAGGCTGGCTGGTAAACAATGCCACCGGCGGCACATGTGAGGCTGGCTAAGGGCGCACATTGGACGCGTCTCGGACGAAAGCGGTGAGCGGGTTTTTGAGCGGTATGCGAGGCAAAATTTTTGCGATAAAAGCGAGCGGTATGCGGATTGTACGTTATGTGATGGCGACGGTATGCGGGGGTCCATTGTAGTAATATCTGGATAAACCATTACTCTAAGTAAATTTATTTGGGTATACACAAATACAGTTACATAGATTATCGTACATAGCAGCATATGTGTAGAGAACCAAGGGTAACCAAAAAAGTCAGATAGTGACTTATTTCCATTGAGGTCCTTTTAATACCTTATTATTATAATATAAAGGAGATAATATCTTATAATTATACTATAAAGGATATACAGTATAAGGTAAAATGAGTTATTTATGTGTGTTAGCTAAAATAAAAAATCATTCTCCTCCCTTTCTGTGTCTGAGAATATTTTGTCTTTATCTTTATACGTTCCACTAAACCATTAGCTGGATGATAAACTGTTGTTTGGATTTACTGTTTTGGTGCAAAGTATACAATTTATTAAGCAAAATGTTTCAAAATACATCTTCAGTTTCTGAAACACTTGAGTTTAGTTCATTATGATAAATTATTCTCATCTTAAAATGTTCAGTACACTAGAAAAACTTTAGCAGATTTTTTTAACAACTATCAATACTGTGAAAAATTATCGACTGTTCTATACTTATGCTTATTACCATGAATTAATTTCTGAAATTTTGTTAAAAAATCTATTTAAATACATTCCTAAGGCTCATTAGCTCCTTTATACTCTAGAATATGACCAGGACAGCATAGCATGTTGCTGAATGCACAGTGAAACCTTACAACACTGAAGATCGGCACTTCATGAATTGTGTTATGTGAAATGAAGAATATAAGAAAAAATAGGGTTACGTTCCAGACATGTCTAAATTTGCCGGTCATCTTTTTTTTTTTAATAATTTGATAGGTAAAAATTGCTGAAGCTTATATTATACATACTAGTTATTGTTACTTGTTAACATTGTCTGTAATGAGGGTTGATGCACTTCAGCCCAATTGGGCTGTACTTGCGTTAATCTTTCTTTCAACGCACCGGCCGTATCCCACCGAGGCGGGGTGGCCCAAAAGGAAAAACGAAAGTTTCTCCTTTTACATTTAGTAATATATACAGGAGAAGGGGTTACTAGCCCCTTGCTCCCGGCATTTTAATTGCCTCTTACAACACGCATGGCTTACGGAGGAAGAATTCTATTCCACTTCCCCATGGAGATAAGAGAAAATGAACAAGAACTAGAAAGAAAATAGAAGAAAACCCAGAGGGGTGTGTATATATATGCTTGTACATGTATGTGTAGTGTGACCTAAGTGTAAGTAGAAGTAGCAAGACATACCTGAAATCTTGCATGTTTATGAGACAGACAAAAGACACCAGCAATCCTACCATCATGTAAAACAATTACAGGCTTTCATTTTACACTCACTTGTCAGAACGGTAGTACCTCCCTGGGTGGTTGCGGTCTACCAACCTACTACCTATAACTTGCGTTAATTTGTTGGATAAAAAAAACACTGTGGCCCTTAGTACTCAGAGTGTTTGCATAATTTGAGAAAGATATTATGCATCTCTCTCTCTCTGTATCACAGGTTTAGACCCCCTTATTAATTATCTGTGTAAAATCTGGTGTGATAATGATTATTCTGTTTGTTGCAGGCCAAGTCACTGCTACCGAAGGCCAAGCCCGGAGAGAGCTACCAGGCCAGGATAGCACCCAACCACCTTAATGTCTTCCTTAACCTGGCCAACCTCATTGCAAGGAATGAGACACGTCTTGAAGAAGCCGATGCCTTGTACCGTCAGGCCATCAGCATGAGAGCAGACTACACCCAGGCCTACATCAACAGAGGTGACATACTCATCAAGATGAACAGGTGAGCACGTGACTGGTGAGTAAAGTGAGTATGCTCTCAAGATGAACAAGAGAGAGAATGTCATATGCGAGTTGAGTTCACGTTGAAGATGAACAAGTGAGTGCTTGATAAGTGATTTTAATATGCAGTAATACCCCGGTTTTTGTCCTTAATCCATTCCAGAAGGTTGGCTGAAATCCAAAATGGATGAAAACCGAAGTAATATTTCCCATAAGAAATAATGTAAATCCAATTAACTCATTCCGGACACCCAAAAATATTAACAAAAAATACATTTTATAGAAAATAACTATAGTGTTGCAGCTCTTCAGAGGTTAGCTCTTCCCTGTGGTCATCCACCATCTGTTCCACATCCTGGTCACTCACATCTAACCATGGACTTCCCCAAAGCCACAATAGATTCCACAACAGGTGTAGGGTTGTCAAGTTTACACTAACTTAAATTAAGTTAGTAATAGAACTAGGCATTAAAAAACACAAAAGTAAAATAGATACACAGTACATTCATTACTTACCTTAAAATATTTGTAGTCTTATTGTAGGGTGAGAAATGAGTAGTATTTATTTGTAAGAAGTCAGTGTGGGTAGCTGGTAGGTACAGGTAGCCAGTAGGTAGCCTGGGCTACTACTAGTGGCTACCTATACTGCAGCCCAGAGCCATATTACCAGCGACATACCATGTTCACTGAGTTTAATCGTTTCTAACAACTACCTTTAGGTGCCATCATAAACAAAGGGAGAAGTAATGAATAATTCATGCTGAGAATTGTAAACAAAAGCGTTATGTATTAAGGGCAGTGACTGGGGCCAGACGCAAATTCATAGTTTTCTCTAATGCTGGACCAGAGAAAATGTAATGTTTTCCTTCTGCCTGGCTAGCACACCTCCATAGCATATAAACATTGCATGTTTATATGCTATGTAATGTGTTTCTTATATAATTTTGAAGAAAATATCATAGATGGATTAATGAAAATGTCTATATTAACGTAAAATAAGACATTTAATGTGCCCAATAGTGATTATTATTACGTATTAGTATTATTACTATGGTCAAAGTGGAAAGTCTGAATGTGCGTGGATGTTGTGCAAATGATAAGAAATAGATGATTGTGGATGTTATGAATGAGAAGAAACTGGATGTCCTGGCTTTAAGTGAAACAAAGCTGAAGGGGGTGGGAGAGTTTCAATGGAGAGGAATAAATGGGGTTAGGTCAGGGGTTTCAAATAGAGTTAGAGCTAAAGAAGGAGTAGCAATAATGTTGAAGGATAAGCTATGGCAGGAAAAGAGGGACTACAAATGTATAAATTCAAGGATTATGTGGAGTAAAATAAAGATTGGATGTGAAAAGTGGGTTATAGTAAGCGTGTATGCACCTGGAGAAGAGAGAAGTGCAGAGGAGAGAGAGAGAGATTCTGGGAAATGTTGAGTGAATGCGTGGGGAGTTTTGAATCAAGTGTGAGAGTAATGGTGGTTGGGGATTTCAATGCTAAAGTGGGTAAAAATGTAGTAGGAGTAGTAGGTAAATTTGGGGTGCCAGGGGTAAATGTAAATGGGGAGCCTTTAATTGAGCTATGTGTAGAAAGAAATTTGGTAATAAGTAATACATATTTTATGAAAAAGAGGATAAATAAATATACAAGGTATGATGTAGCACGTAATGAAAGTAGTTTGTTAGATTATGTATTGGTGGATAAAAGGTTGATGGGTAGGCTCCAGGATGTACATGTTTATAGAGGGGCAACTGATATATCGGATCATTATTTAGTTGTAGCTACAGTTAGAGTTAGAGGTAGATGGGAAAAGAGGAAGGTGGCAACAACAAGTAAGAGGGAGGTGAAAGTGTATAAACTAAGGGAGGAGGAAGTTTGGGCGAGATATAAGCGACTATTGGCAGAAAGGTGGGCTAGTGCAAAGATGAGTAGTGGGGGGTTGAAGAGGGTTAGAATAGTTTTAAAAATGCAGTATTAGAATGTGGGGCAGAAGTATGTGGTTATAGGAGGGTGGGGGCAGGAGGAAAGAGGAGTGATTGGTGGAATGATGAATAAAGGGTGTGATAAAAGAGAAAAAGGTAGCTTACGAGAGGTTTTTACAAAACAGAAGTGTTGTAAGAAGAGCAGAGTATATGGAGAGTAAAAGAAAGGTGAAGAGAGTGGTGAGAGAGTGCAAAAGGAGAGCAGATGAAAGAGTGGGAGAGGCACTGTCAAGAAATTTTAATGAAAATAAGAAAAAAATTTGGAGTGAGTTAAACAAGTTAAGAAAGCCTAGGGAAAGTATGGATTTGTCAGTTAAAAACAGAGTAGGGGAGTTAGTAGATAGGGAGAGGGAGGTATTAGGTAGATGGCGAGAATATTTTGAGGAACTTTTAAATGTTGAGGAAGAAAGGGAGGCGGTAATTTCATGCACTGGCCAGGGAGGTATACCATCTTTTAGGAGTGAAGAAGAGCAGAATGTAAGTGTGGTGGAGGTACGTGAGGCATTACGTAGAATGAAAGGGGGTAAAGCAGCTGGAACTGATGGGATCATGACAGAAATGTTAAAAGCAGGGGGGGATATAGTGTTGGAGTGGTTGGTACTTTTGTTTAATAAATGTATGAAAGAGGGGAAGGTACCTAGGGATTGGCGGAGAGCATGTATAGTCCCTTTATATAAAGGGAAAGGGGACAAAAGAGATTGTAAAAATTATAGAGGAATAAGTTTACTGAGTATACCAGGAAAAGTATACGGTAAGGTTATAATTGAAAGAATTAGAGGTAAGACAGAATGTAGGATTGCGGATGAGCAGGGAGGCTTCAGAGTGGGTAGGGGATGTGTAGATCAAGTGTTTACATTGAAGCATATATGTGAACAGTATTTAGATAAAGGTAGGGAAGTTTTTATTGCATTTATGGATTTAGAAAAGGCATATGATAGTGGATAGAGGAGCAATGTGGCAGATGTTGCAAGTATATGGAATAGGTGGTAAGTTACTAAATGCTGTAAAGAGCTTTTATGAGGATAGTGAGGCTCAGGTTAGGGTATGTAGAAGAGAGGGAGAATACTTCCGGTAAAAGTAGGTCTTAGACAGGGATGTGTAATGTCACCATGGTTGTTTAATATATTTATAGATGGGGTTGTAAAAGAAGTAAATGCTAGGGTGTTCGGGAGAGGGGTGGGATTAAATTATGGGGAATCAAATTCAAAATGGGAACTGACACAGTTACTTTTTGCTGATGATACTGTGCTTATGGGAGATTCTAAAGAAAAATTGCAAAGGTTAGTGGATGAGTTTGAGAATGTGTGTAAAGGTAGAAAGTTGAAAGTGAACATAGAAAAGAGTAAGGTGATGAGGGTATCAAATGATTTAGATAAAGAAAAATTGGATATCAAATTGGGGAGGAGGAGTATGGAACAAGTGAATGTTTTCAGATTACTTGGGAGTTGACGTGTCAGCGGATGGGTTTATGAAGGATGAGGTTAATCATAGAATTGATGATGGAAAAAAGCCGAGTGGTGCGTTGAGGTATATGTGGAGTCAAAACACGTTATCTATGGAGGCGAAGAAGGGAATGTATGAAAGTATAGTAGTACCAACACTCTTATATGGATGTGAAGCTTGGGTGGTAAATGCAGCAGCGAGGAGACGGTTGGAGGCAGTGGAGATGTCCTGTCTAAGGGCAGTGTGTGGTGTAAATATTATGCAAAAAATTTTGGAGTGTGGAAATTAGGAGAAGGTGTGGATTTAAATAAAAGCATTATTTCAAGGGGCAGAAGAGGGGTTGTTGAGGTGGTTTGGTCATTTAGAGGGGAATGGATCAAAGTAAAATTTGACAGGGGAAAGCATATAAATCTTTTAGGGGAAGGAAGGGGGGGTAGGGGTCGTCCTCGAAAGGGTTGGAAAGAGAGGGTAAAGGAGGTTTTGTGGGCAAGGGGCTTGGACTTCCAGCAAGCGTGCATGAGGGTGTTAGATAGGAGTGAATGGAGACGAATGATACTTGGGACCTGACGATCTGTTGGAGTGTGAGCAGGGTAATATTTAGTGAAGGGATTCAGGGAAACCGGTTATTTTCATATAGTCGGACTTGAGTCCTGGAAATGCCTGCACTTTAAAGGAGGGGTTTGGGATATTGGCAGTTTGGAGGGATATGTTGTGTATCTTTATACGTATATGCTTCTAAACTGTTGTATTCTGAGCACCTCTGCAAAAGCAGTGATAATGTGTGAGTGTGGTGAAAGTGTTGAATGATGATGAAAGTATTTTCTTTTTGGAGATTTTCTTTCTTTTTTGGGTCACCCTGCCTCGGTGGGAGACGGCTGACTTGTTGGAAAAAAAAAAAAAAAAAAATTAGAGGGACACTCTTAGTGAACGAGTAACAAAGGCACATTTATATGCTATGTAATGTGTTTCTTATATAATTTTGAAAAAAAAAATATCATAGATGGATTAATGAAAATGTCTGTACAGTATTAACATAAAATAAGACATTTAATGTGCCCAAGAGTGAGTCGCGAATATATGAGTGGCCAAAGTGGATGCGCCTGGTACGGATGATTTCCAAGTGGATGTACGAAACCTGGGGTAAAATTTCGCCGAAAAAAGTGGTTGAAATCTGAATTGTACGATTTCCGCACCGACGAAATCGGTGGGTCCACTGTATATATATCTTCTTTCAACAAACCGGCCATATCCCACTGAAGCAGGGTGGCCTGTAAGGAAAAATGAAAGTAATACAATGGACCCCCAGTTTACGATATTACAGTGGACCCCCACATAACGATTACCTCCGAATGCGACCAATTATGTAAGTGTATTTATGTAAGTGCGTTTGTACGTGTATGTTTGGGGGGCGGGAAAAAAAAGGGGGGGGGGGGGGGCCCCAAGAGGGGGGGGGTTGGGGGGGAGGGGGGGGGGGGGGGGGAGAAGGGGGTGGGGAAAAAACCCGAAAAAAAAAAAAGGGGGGGGGGGGGGGGCAGGGAGGGAAAGGGGGGGGTTGGGGGGGGGGGGGGGAATGTTGGATTTTGACCCGAAAGGGAGGGGAAGATTTGTTTTATGGGAAAAAAAGGGGGGGGAAAAAAAAAAAGGGAAAAAAAAAAACCCCCAGGGGTGGGGGGGGGGGAAAAAAAAAAAAAAAAAATTTTTTT